GCCCCAGAGTAAATAACACTAGTTTTGGTTCTCATGATGGTGAAGCAGAGAGCCCTTCTTTTGGTAGTGTCAGGTTTGGATTGTCTACTTGCTTGGTTTTATGCTAGGAGAAGATCCTTTCCAGTTTCATTTCTATGGAATGACATTCACTTGTATTCTTCTTTTGCAGCCTGGAGAATAACTCAATGGAGAAACTGAGGGAGGCCTCTGCAGCTGAAGCCCAAGCGGCTAGTGCTGTGTGGCAAGCTGCTCAGGCAGCATCTATTAATTCAGCTGAAGAAACTTCAGTGTCTGATGACAACTCACAGGCAGCTGAGACGACCTCTGATGGAAGTGAGGTGGAGGCTGATGTCCGCCTTCATCCTAGAGCTGTATGTTTTATGCTCGCTGTTATACAAACTAGATTAATTCTTTAATCACAAAGCCTCCGAAATCATGCTATATGTATGATGTATCGCAGGTTGTAGTTGCTAAAGAGGCTGTAGGCAACTTGGGTGGCATGGTGAGGCAGTTATCATTGGATCAATTTGAAAATGAAAGCAGAAGGATGGTTCCCACTACTAGTGATACACCAAATCCTGCCAAAAGGTTCATGAGGCAGAAGTCTCCTCAGGGTTTGCCCAAAAAGGCAAGGGCATATAATTGATTACTGATTTGACTCTGGTTGAGGATGGATCTTAACTTTTTTGTGGTATGTTGCAGGTTATATCTACATTGCTTAGGCCTCGGAACTGGAAAGCTCCGACAAATAGGAGGTTTTTTATGGATTCCTATGAAATTGGTGAACTTTGTTATGCTGCTGAGCAGATATTTATGCACGAACCTACAGTTCTTCAGTTGAAAGCTCCAGTGAAGGTGTTTGGCGACCTCCATGGACAATTTGGTGATTTGATGCGTCTCTTTGATGAATATGGATTTCCTTCCACAGCAGGAGACATTACGTAAGTGTGGTACTCAGCGATCCTTGACTATATCTGCGGGGCCAAAATTAGTCGGACCATTTTTTTCATCAGTTCAAACAATTTAATTTGGCAATGTAGAAGGATTGAAAGTTTTCAGCGTTAAGTAAATTAGAAAGTCAGATTGGTAACAAGGTTTGTAACTTTGAAAGTATTAACAAGCTTGGAACCCCCAATTTGATAGTCTTGGTAATTAATTCACTATAGTTAATCTCGGAGCCGGCACTTCACTTATCAGAGTGAATGATTAGCAAGCTAAGGTAGAGGACTTGCTTAGTGTGTTATGATGGGAACCATGTGTCTGAAGTAGGATATTGGTACTTTCAATGGTCTTTCTTAGAAGGGGTATTAGTGGGATTCTTGTTTATGGTACTGAAGTTAGCTTCTAGCTTTAATTTTCCCGTCTAATGGACTAGTTAATTAGCTATCCAATAGGCAAAGGGGTCCCGATGCTGAAATGTCATCTAACGAAATTTCATCATGCTCTTTCAGGTATATCGACTACTTATTTCTGGGGGACTATGTTGACCGTGGACAGCACAGTTTGGAGACTATAACTTTACTTCTTGCTCTTAAGGCAGGCCCTTCGCTTTTAGAATAGAAGTTGACGACTATAATCCACTAATAGCGTCATTGACCACCTTCTTTTGCTATGTTTTAATGTAGATTGAGTATCCTGAAAATGTTCATCTAATACGAGGAAACCATGAAGCGGCTGACATCAATGCGCTCTTTGGTTTTCGCATTGAATGCATTGAGAGAATGGTATTTTAAATTGTAACATTGATAATGCAACCTGCACAATGGAGAATACAGCTAACAATTGTCACTTCCAGGGAGAGAGTGATGGGATATGGGCATGGACGCGGTTCAATCAACTTTTCAACTATCTTCCACTTGCTGCACTTATTGAGAAGAAAATTATTTGTATGCATGGGGGAATTGGTAGATCTATTACTTCAGTGGAACAGATAGAGAAACTTGAGAGGCCCATAACCATGGATGCAGGTTCCATAATACTGATGGATCTTCTATGGTACTGCTTTTCTCACATATGATTTATGGGGGGTTTTCCCCTTCTCTTTGTAGTGTGCTCAAACTCCTGAGTGTGATGTGCAGGTCTGATCCTACTGAGAATGATAGTGTCGAAGGCTTGAGGCCCAATGCCAGAGGTCCTGGTCTGGTCACCTTTGGGGTATATATCACTCCGATTTACATGCATCATCCTTTTCTTCTTTTTATGGGGTTAAGCAAGATGAACATAGCCTTGTTCAATACAATCTTGCTGTTACTGCCAAGCCTGAAGCTACTACTATATATGCTTGCTTGATGGACGAGCCATTTGTTATGCGTTTCTGTCTGTATCTATTGTTAATGTTGTAAGGTTCTGCAACGTTTGCAAAGATGTTGCTTGATAGTAGAAGTGTAGAACTAACTAATGCATTTTACTCGCAATCTTGATGCAGCCTGACCGTGTATCAGATTTTTGCAAGAAGAACAAGTTACAGCTGATCATTAGAGCGCACGAGTGTGTTATGGATGGGTTTGAACGGTTTGCTCAAGGGCAGTTGATTACGCTATTTTCAGCTACAAACTATTGCGGTAAAAAAACATACTGATCAATATTCTGTTGTAGTCCTCACCAAACTACCAATTGCTAACGTTCTACACATAAATGTCAGGAACTGCAAACAATGCAGGGGCCATCCTAGTGGTTGGACGTGGATTAGTTGTGGTGCCGAAGTTAATCCACCCTTTGCCACCACCTCTCCAATCCCCTGAAACATCTCCGGAGCGCATCACTGATGACACATGGATGCAAGTAAGATCGCGACTGCATTTGATCTTCAAACAGATATGCCTTAAAGCTCATATTTTGATCGGGAGGCTTACAAAAACCCCCCCTTCGTTTCTATGTTTTATGTGGTGGCTTTTCAGGAACTTAACATACAGAGACCACCGACCCCGACACGTGGTCGCCCACAATCTGAACTTGACAGGAACTCACTTGCGTATATATGATGGATCAGAATCATTATTTCACCCCTTCGCCACCAGTCAGCCTAGCCGCCCCTGTGAATTTTGTGGCTTTATCATCATCAATTACACATTACAGTGTCAGATTTGGTTAAAAGGACGCTTAGGCCAGTCTGGTTTGTTGTGTTTTATGCAAATAGAAGAAGAGAATGAAGAAAGAAGCATTAGGTTGGATTGGCTAAAGCACTCATTTGGGAGGATGAGGCGTTACCCAATCCGGTGTAACATAATGTACAATTCGTATAGGTGAAAGATGGATGAAAAAGGAAAGTTGTTCAGGTGTTTAATTGGTTCTGTGTCTCTCCTTTTGCGCAGTGTATTGTGATATAACAAATGGTATAGAGGTTAAATAGTCTGATGGGTTGGTTTGGTTTGTTTTGTTTTCTGGTATTGTGCACAACCAAGAAGCAATTCAGAGAACTTTGTTCTTGTACGCACCATTTTTATACGCACCATAATTGCTTTTTTTCCTGCATTTTTTAAGTAACGTTTGGATACAATTCGGTAAGAAATCCATTTTCATTTCGGATTTTTAGTTAATTTCATTTCTAGTTCCTTGTACTTAATGTCGACACAAGCATTCCTTAAAGATTATTCCCTCTATGGAAAATTGATGACTTAAAAGGATCAAACCTTCATAGATAAGAACTCACCAGCAACATAGATCTTTGTTTGCGAGTGGCGTGGTTTAGATGAACATGTGGGATGAAACTATGCAAACATATATGAGATATTTGGATCGCCAATGTTGATTATGTTGGACAAAGTTATCCTCAAAATCACGATTACAATCGAGATAGCCAACAATAGAATCATCAAAGTAACTATGTCAGATGCTTACAACATCTCTAACAATTGACTTATAAGAAATATTACAATCGAGAATTATTCCAACAATAGAATCATCAAAGTAACTATGTCAGATGCTTATAAGAATTGGTCCAAATTAGTGTTGAACCATGACCATTTCCTAGAGGTTAGAAACCCGTTGGCTATCCAAAGATAACATCCACCAGTGCTACATATCTTTCACAATATGAATCGATACGAAAAGAGATCAACCAATCAGAATTGGATGAAGAAGCCAAACCCATCCCACTAGGATTTGGTGTGCGACCTCCATGCAAAGAGTAGGGGTTGATTTCTGCTCACTCCAAGCTATATCAACTGCTAATAAGCTGAAAGCCTTATTCCACGATCAACAAGTAATTATGCAAAGTATGGAGCATCAAATAGCTTGCTCATCGATATCAAGCTGGTTGATAAATCAAGGTGTCGGCCTAGAGGGATGGTTCGAAATGTAGGAGTCGAAATTGGGTCATTTGTCTTCTCTCTCGACTTTGTGGCGTTGGATATGTATATGAATCTATAATATTCTTTCCTATTCAAGAGGCCTTTCCTTGCATCAGCCGAAGCATTGATCAATATACATGCAAGAAAAATCATTATAAGAATCGAAAATGCAGAGCATGTAATTACCTTATATAATATTTATGCTCCGATGGACGATGGTTGGATGTTATTGAGTCCATAAGGCTCCTCTTGAAGGATACAAATTTGACTCCTTTGGCTCCTCAATTCTAGATTATTGAGCTAGAACTCTTCTAGTAGATATGGAAAAGAATTTAGGACTTCCCTCTCTAAATCTCAATAATGAGAATGCATCACCACCATTAGGGGTGCATGGAAAGAACAAAGAACCTGACAACTCAGAAGCTTATGAAGATTTTTACAAAGCTCTTAATAACAAAGAGTTTGAGCAATAAGTGATAAATTCCGAAGCTAGAATCTTCAAATTTCCAAAACAAGTTCGAGTTCAAAACTCACCTACATGAGTTCTTCGAGCCACCACCAAATGATTGAGGCATGAATGGCTCAAAGAGGCCAAATGGTCGAAATATTAACCAACTAGTGACTGTTCCTAGATCAATAAAAGAGAGAAATTTTAATGAGAGACAACTCATGTCTTGTGTTTAACTTAAAGACGTTAATGAAAATCGCTACCTAGAGACAACCCGAATGTCATTTGAATTTTGTAGTTTCTTTTGTAATGTCGGAACTTTTGGTTTATCTTGGTAAAGTTGTTTCAAATTTTGGATGAATGGAGTATGCTTTAAAATTTTAGGTAATAAAAAATGCGAGCAATTACCCCTTCTTTTGTTGTTGATAGATTTTAAGGTGTTAAGGTTCGTTTGCTTGTGCCTAAATAATTTTGCTTGTGCCAAACGGCCCAAACAGTATTACAACCTTTGGAATCATAGAACCAACGATCCAAACCAACCCAGGCCCCCAAACGATGATCGTTTTGGCGTTTTGGGCTCGAAAAATGGCTTTGATTAGCAAAATTTTCAAAGGGCGAACATATTCAGCAGAAGAAGTTTAGATGAGAACACTACTATCCTCATTAGTCAAGCAACCAAAGGAAAATATCACACAATTGACAACGGAGGAAGTACTGGATCACTTTGCCTCCATAGCTTCCAAATAAAGAAACTGGCCTAGAAGACATGATCCTAGGGTAGTCAAATCAGCTCTGAAACTATGATGACCACGAGCAAACATTAAAGATGCAAACCATGTTTTAAAGTTGTTCTTTGTCAAATCTATCAATTTCTCAATATATTTTTGGTTAAATACACTTGTATATCCAAAAACACCGTTAAAGAATGTGAAGGAATTGGATATAAGTGGTATTTTGGAAAATTTGGATATTATTGGCACAACCGTGAAAGTTTTGGATATACAAGTGTATTAAACCAAAACTTAATAAGAATATATTAAAACGTAATCCTCTCTCTAGCCGACTCTCCCTCTCTTTCTCTACAGGCTTCGGCCGAACCCTTGCCGTTCCCCCTACCAACCCGTTCTCTCAATTCTCAATCCCTAGATTGATCCCTGATTGATCTAACTTAATTCCCAATTCCACCGCAATACTCGCACCCTAGATTCCGAGGTCTATCAGAAACCCAATCGTTATACTTTGGGGGTTTGAAAATCAACCTCTATATAAGGAGCACTGTGTGATTACCCCGATCTAGCGCACCCGAATGACCAATTCGTTAGCCACTCGAAACATAAGTGGCCATTTTAACTATTAACCTCCGTCTTGGCGCACCCGAGTCTTTGAAATGAAAACCAAAACGCATCGCAGACAGGATAAGGGGAAGAACAAGAATCAAAATCTCTACGAAAAACCAGTCTTGCCTGCTGCCATCTCCACTACCGGAACTGCATTTGGCGATTTCCCGTTCGCGTATTATGTCTATAGCAGTGACCAATTGCTGCTTCTCTGCCATCTCCTCTACCGTCAAGTTTCGCTGCTCTGCTTCTTCGAGCCGCCTTCTCGCCACCACCAACTCCTCGGCTGCCTGCGTCGCCTCCAAAGCTTCCATCCATAACAGAAAGCGTTCAAAGCGCGGTTCTGCATCTTCCCCTGCTGACAGAATCAATAGTAAGGATGTAAGTCTTAATCTCTCCCTCTCTATTCCACTCCGTAGGTTATACTTGTTGTTGTTCGAGCTCCATTCTTTCTTCTCCTGTGATTTCGATGTTTTTGTTTGTGCTTGCAAATTGCAATGGTCTTGTTGGGGCTTTAATTTGAATTGTGGCGTTCAGAGGGAGGGCGTTTCTCAAACGAAATCTGCCGGTAGAGCGAAAGATGGGAGGTCTTCTCCTTTCCAGGCCGATTCCAACAGTGGCAATGCTAAGCCATTTGGGTCACAAAGAAGAGATAACAAGAGTTTGCAGTTTGATTTGAAGGAACAACCGGTACTTCCGATACCTTTCTTCTGACTCCAGTATCCACATTCAATTGTAAAATGAGAATTTAGCGGGGCCAAATTGTTGCTTGGGCGATTCTGCGAGTCCATTATCAGAGCTCCCCTGCTGTTTTACCTTCTTGTTTAGCTCTTGTATCACATCGTCGTCATGTTGTGTGGTGCTGGTATTAATGCAGGTCGGAGCTGGGAATCTTCAGGTTGCAGTTTTCCTAGATGCGGTAGTCAAGGTTAGATATTCACCTGCCTTTTCATTTAATGGAGGGTCAGTGCATTTTGTATCATTGTATGTGCTGTGTCTTTGATCACAAATCACAACTTGTCTCAATTTTCTCAAGCTTGTTTTTTACCCCTCCAGGTTTACTGCACCCACACGGCGCCTGACTATTCTCTCCCGTGGCAAAAACAAAGGCAATTTACAAGTACTGGGAGGTGAAGTTCAAAGAAGTTCTTATTTGTTGAACTTTTCTTCACTGCTGGTATGATTTGAGTCAAGGGTTTTATCTGGGGCCTCTAGATTTATGTGTTCGTTTTATGTTCTCTTTCAGTGCTTTTATGATAGGGAATGGGAGACTTCTAACAAATGCACACTGTGTGGAATATCAAACACAGGTAGTTGGATTTCCTAATTCATGCCATGGCTTTTTCAAGCTTCCGTTTCTGGGTTAATTATTGTGATATTTGATGTTGCTAAAGACCGAAAAGTCTAAATATTGATTTCATAGGCTAGAAAACATGACCTGAAGGTGATAGTGTGCACAATAAGTGTCTTAAGCAAGTACACTAGCTGCCTAAGTGTAAATGTTAAGGAATTGGGTAACTAATTGATCATAGGTTTTCCTCTAAATTTTCTTACGTCTAGTTTCTTGGTGCACCTTTTATTTTCTCCCCTTGTGAAGGGGCCTAAGACCCAAGATCAGTGGGCTCGTGATATTATTGCTTCTCCAAGTACAATAAGATTTATTGATCATGATACGCCAAGTAGCCAAGATTTTTTTTTATTGTCATGACATACAGTTTTGTTTCAACAACTGGACTCTTTCAATCTGATTTCTTTCGTACCCTTCGCTCAATGAGAAAATAGGCCATATAATACCACTCATTAGTTTTATTTTTCTGAATTTTTTTGAACAGTACTGTAATATTATTGTTCACAGCTTCACCAAGTTTTTGCCTCTTTGGGTACTTTATGAGGGCTCAGTATTTCTTTTCACATGCAAGTTTTCAATTTTAACTGAATTTTTTTTTTTTGCTTCCCATGATATAGTAATCCTTACTAGGAAACCATGCATCATGATGGTTCAGAAGTTTACCATTTTAGTAAAAACTTTTGCTGTCAGTAAATTTTATGTATTATCTGTGAAATGACAAGTAAACATGAAATCCTTTTTTTTTTCTTTTATGAACTTTGATGACAGGTTAAAGTGAAGAGAAGGGGAGATGACACAAAATATGTGGCCAAGGTATCCATTTTATACACTTTGTTCTCAATAACGTCAGGAGGCCTAACGCGAAGAGCCTTAAGTTTTGAAATGGGTTGAAAACTCGCAATGTGATTCCTTACATATATGTGGGGTGTTAATAGCACATGATTTGCTGTTTGGATACTTTCCTAATCATATGAGTTATACACACTTGGTGAATTCTATTGTTTTCTTGATGTTTGGTTCTTGCCTGTTTACATGAAGCACTGGTAGCAACTGCAGTCCCGTTAATGACATAATGAACAGGTATTGGCCAGGGGTGTTGATTGTGATATAGCTTTGCTTGCTGTTGAAAGTGAGCAATTTTGGGAGGGGGCTGAACCATTACAGTTGGGTGACTTACCTCATCTACAGGTCAAATTCACTGCTCCTGCAATTTTCCATACTTTTGGTTGTTCATGCTTTCTGATGAAGCATTTCTGTCATTTATGAAGGGCAGGAAGCAGTAACTGTTGTAGGATATCCACTTGGAGGAGACACTATTTCAGTGACAAAGGGAGTTGTATCACGGATAGAGGTAGGATAGGTCGTGTGTGAAATTTATCCCTTTTCGACGTCAGTGATTTTTAATAGGATGCTTTGTAATCAGTTTAGTAAATGAATTTTCAAGAACCAAGTTGCTGAGTCCAGTTAACATATTGCCAGGTTACTCCTTATGCACATGGATCATCTGATTTACTTGGTATTCAAATTGATGCAGCCATAAATCCTGGTCAGTAGCCATCCCTGTTGTTTCTAAGCTCTTGATTTTTAATTGGATCTTGTTACCGTATACTTCGCAAGGCTTTATTCCATATCTCTATGATGGCCACTGCTTATGCTTGCTAGATTATAGGTAATAGTGGTGGTCCAGCATTCAATGACCGTGGGGAGTGCATTGGGGTGGCTTTCCAGGTAGTTTATCTTGGGCGCTGTTGAAGTTTATCTTCAAGTTCTTTGTGTTTGGAACTATTTATGTTTTCCAAACCATCCTTGATTCAAGCTGAGGGTGATGTCCACGGCTCTCTTTTTCCTTTTTATCGGAAAATATGTTCTTAGATATAAGATAGAACATTGTCATACTTCATTGTGTTGCCTGCAGAAGTTGCTCAATATTGTACTTCGGTTTCTCTTTACAATTTTCACCCGCGAGTTATTTCTTTTAGGCTTACAGATCCGAAGAGGCTGAGAATATTGGATATGTTATTCCAACAACAGTGGTCTCCCATTTCTTGAGTGATTATGAGAGGAATCAGAAATACACTGGTAATGTACTAGTATATCTTTCATACGTCAATACTGTACATTCCTTTTTCTTGATAATTAGTTAAACATGTGTATCCTACATTTGCATGTTGGGATATATGTTTAACTAAATTGGTGATTTGGTTAGATCTGCTTTATTGAATGGTATAACCGGACTAGGACGTGTTCTTCTAGATACCTCAGAAACATACTATAACCTTAATCATGGAACGAGACCTTTATACGACGATGTCCCATGTAACTTCTTAACATGTGACTTACAGGCTTTCCTTCGCTTGGTGTATTACTGCAAAAGCTGGAGAACCCTGCACTGAGAGAGTGTCTGAAAGTGCCATCTAGTGCGGTACTATCCTTGTCTTTTGCCAGTTCAATGTATATGGCTGAGAGTAACTAATCTGTTTTCTGCAGGGCGTCCTGGTTCGGAAAGTTGAACCAACATCTGATGCAAATAAAGTGTTAAAAGAGGTAAGCTGGCCATTTATGTTCAACACCTTCTGATTTGCATAATTGCTTATCTTAAATAATTATTAGGATAATGTTGGCTGACTAGTACTCGGTATTTATTATAGCATCTTATTAATTGATTGGTAAAGATACCCAGATAGTCTTTATGTCAATTTAGTAGGGTGTTGAAAATAAGCGTGTCATACAAAGTTTTCTGAACCTAGTCATGCTTATGCTGTCCCAAACTATTGCACAAAGTTTTAGCAAGAGCATGTCAAACCCTGGGGCGTAACTAGCAGAACTGAGGATATTTTGGTTTGTCTTTACTTTTCAGGGTGACGTGATTGTGAGCTTTGATAACGTTCACATAGGGTGTGAAGGAACTGTGCCGTTCCGGTCAAATGAGCGCATTGCATTCCGCTACCTTATTAGTCAAAAGTAAACTATTTTTAGCATCACAAATAATTGTTTGTGCTGGTTCTACCTTGTTGTTTTGCTTGAATTGAGATATATAATCTCGGTTCTTTCATCGTTGAATGCATAGTGATGCTCGTATACAGATATGCAGGTGATGTAGCGGAGCTTGGTATTATCAGAAATGGTCAATCCATGAAAGTTCAAGTGGTCCTAAATCCAAGAGTTCATTTGGTAATACATGGCTGGGAACTTGAAACTAGTCATTAGCTTTAGCGTATGATGTCCATTACCTAACTTGCATTGTTATGTTGCTCCCTTTTAAAGGTGCCTTATCATGTAGATGGCGGTCAGCCTTCTTACTTGATAACTGCTGGTTTGGTGTTTACTCCTCTCTCGGAACCACTAATAGAGTATGTTTGACCTTTGATGCCTTCGTTCATTCATTTTGTTATTAAACTAACTTTTCCTATTCATGAAATGCAGTGACGAATGTGAAGATCCCATCGGGGTAAGCTCTACGGTCTCCCCGAACTAATCTAGGTGATCAGTTCTTCACTATATGTGCTACGAGGCTTGTTTTCTGATGATTCTATGTTCTCTTACAGTTGAAGCTTTTAACAAAGGCGCGTTACACATTGGCGAAGTTTAAAGGAGAACAAATTGTGATCCTATCTCAGGTGAACTAGCTCACCTTCACCCACCATTATGATGAGATCGAGACTTCTTGTGGTTTCTTATGACACTTGAACTTCATTCTATCCATAGCCCTACTTATGTTATCTGCAGGAGATCTGATTGAAAAGTTCTTACTTCTTAACTCGAGTCCTTGGTTCTTAACTTGTAGGTGTTAGCAAATGAAGTCAACATTGGATACGAGGATATGGGCAACCAACAGGTAGCAATAAACAATTTAGTTTTTTTTCATTTCAGTCAACCGTTGGGTGACAAGATACTTCTGAGTCCTCTCTCTGACAAGCACAAACAAAACTTGCAGGTGTTGAAATTCAATGGTACCAGAATACGAAACATTCATCATCTAGCCCACCTAATTGATTGTAAGCCATGAATGCTTGCATCTTCCCCTTTTTTTACCTCATAACCCCTTGTTCAATATTCTGTTTTCTCACACTCAGTGTATGCCAATGATCAGCATGCACAGGCAAGTACATGGTGTTCGAGTTCGACGGCAATTATTTGGTTGTGTTGGAGAAGGAAGCAGCTCTGAGTTCTTCATCACAGGTTCTCCAAGATTATGGGATACCATGTGAAAGATCTTCAGATCTGTTAGAGCCGTATGTGGAGTGCAATGTTGGAGACGGTCAATCCATTGTGGATGGAGATTTTGGAGACAGTCCAGTTTCCAATCTAGAAATTGGCGTCGATGGAATCCTGTGGGCATGATGTACTCATTTTAGGTGTATCACAGGTTATTTATTTAATTTATTGAGATTTATACAACGTTGTCAAAAACCGGTTTAAGTCATTGAGCCGGTCAAGCAAGGGGTTGAGGTTTAATGATATGATTGGAGTTCAACGGTTTGAGCCGTTTTAGATTTTTTTCTAAATATATATGCAAAGAAGGTAGTAAGTAAAGATTTAATGACTGAAATGAAGTTTATTTTGTATCTATTAAAAACATATTTTCACAAAATAAATCAACTCAACTTCCATAACCCACTCACCATCTCCTTTCCTTCGTTCCTCTTCTTCTCTTCCACCTCTCTTCTTCTCTCATTTTAGGGGTAAGACTGTGAGGCTTTCTTGAGGTCGTTTTGAAGTTGACTTAGGTCGGATCGAATTCAACCAAGACTTCGATAGGGATTTAACAACCTTGGATTTATACAACATTTATATATATACATAATGGATGCAGTGGCACCCTACCTTTCAATCCAAACCAATTAGGATTTAGAAATCGTCTGATGGTCACAGAGGACCTAGCAATAGGGCATAAGAACAAAACTTGGATCAAAATGTAAACCAAACGGAAAATATGCCCTCGACTAGCCAAATAATATGAAGAGTTATTACTGTCTCTATAAACTTGCTCAATAGTCACATCCCAAGGATAGGAGAGCACCTTGCAAAAACGAGAAAGGATTGCTGCACAATGATGGTCTGTTAGTGTTAGAAACCGACGGGTTGGGTAGGCGACTCCGATCGGGGTGAGTGGGAGTGGCAGTTTGGTTATTTTTTATTATTTGATTATAGTATTTAAGAATTGAGAACAGTATTTTTCAGATTAGTCAATAATTAATTATTCAATCCAAATCCCTAAATTCTCAATCCTCTCTCTCTCTTGTTCTTCTCCAATCTCTCCCAAATCCCTAATTTCTTCTCTTCCCAATCCCTAATTCCCTTTGTAACTTCTTTGTTTCTAACATTTGGTATCAGAGCCTAGTTCCGAAAGGCGAGTTCGTCACAACTCTCTCAGGGACAACTTCCTACCAGATCGTTATCGATGAGTTCAATCAAGATATCGGAGCTGACGGGGGCTTGCAAGCAGGAAAAAACTATGGGAGATCGTGGAGTATTGGAGGGAGCACGTGATGCGTCGCAAGAAGGTAGATGCGAAGGTTGGTGGTGTCGACGCGACGGGTGGGCAGCCTCTGACCACTGTGACTGGCGGAGACAAGGAGAACGCAGGGCAGCTGACTACAGTGTGCGCAATGACGGACGACGAAGACGGGGAAGCCCTGGAAACTCGCGCGGAGGGGGAGCAGGAGCAGGTGGTCTCCCTGCACTCCGTGGCAGGCCAGCAAGCTATCACCCTGGCCGACAGTGGGACATCGTTGAATTTCGTGGGCGAAGACTTTGCTAGGACACTACAGAGGGAGGCGAGTCCGACAACCCCGATCGTGGTCAGAGTGGCCAATGGTGCGCCAATGCGGTGCACATGGATGTACCGAGACCTTTCGGGGATTCGGTATCATCCTAGGGATTTTGTGGCTGCAGAGTTTGGATCCAATCACCAGTGATTGGAGGCGCCTGACGATGTGCTTCAAGTGGAGTGTCAATGAGTGGACGCTGCAAGGCCTGACCATGGCAGTGGGGCCTATCGAGCTCAAGGGATGTCAATCCAACCCGTAACCATGGGTACCCTACCTGACCGTAACTGGTCAATGAGGGTAATTACCCGCTTTGACAGGTTAAGGGGCGGGTACGGGTAATACCCGGTTTCAAAATAAATGGTAGGGTACGGGTATGGTAATCGATAATACCCGCCCTGTTATACCCACCCCGCTAACCAAAGGGTCAATTTTCCTAGCCCTAACCCTACCCAGCAGTCGATTTTCCTTGCCCACACACAAGTGAGGTGCTTGCTCAGGCTCTTCTTGAAACTTTACTTGCTTGGGATATTGACACAAAGGTATCTACGATTACCTTGGATAATTGTTCTACTAATGATGCGTTGATGGATGTCATGAAGCATAAGTTAAGCAGTGAGCATTTGATGTGGTCTGGTTCTAATATTGTCTTTGCTGTTTTTGTTTATGTGTGAATTGTTGAAGCTAGAACAAATATGATGTAATGTGTTTTTGTTTGTGTGGATTGTAAAAGCAAGAACAATTATTATGTGTTCGCTGTTTTTATTTGTGTGGATTGTTGAAGTTAGAACAATTACAAGTATTGAGAATTTTTAATGGACAACAGTATGTATGTGCATATATGTGTATAAGTTCATATTTTAGAATTTGTTCCCTTGGTTACCCGAAAACCCGTAGTTACCCAGTGGGTAGGGTATGGTTATATCATTTTCATACCCGGTGGTTATTTGGTCGGGTATTTTAGGAGGCTCTACCGGACTTGTTAGGAGTTGGTATAGGGTAAACCCACACCCGACCCTACCCATTGCCATCCCTAGTGGGGACCGCAGTCCTGCGTCGGCCATTAGCCGCAGTGGGGGAGCAGAGCATCGACCGGGAGCTGCAGGAGCTGCTTGATCGGTACCAGGAGTTGTTCCAGGCGCCCACGACGCTGTGCCATAGATTAGTCCCTAACTTTCGATCGTCAATGATACCATATAAATACAATGTTGTTTATTTCCGTTCGATCTCGTAACGTTTCCACCCAAAAATTTCTCCTCCCTATCCTTTCTCTTATTGGAGGAGTAAGTAAAAAGGGAAAGAACCAAGTTGAATAGATTAGGAACCTACGTTCGTCATCATGTTAGAAAAATTGAGGAACTTAAACCTTAGACCTAGAAATCACAGTGGAGATTCCTCAAAATGAATTTTACAGCGGAGAGAGTATATTGATATAATTAGCTGGCGGCAGGATCCGCTTGAAACCAAAAACATATCTATCTCATCAATTAGTTGTTACCCTGATTATTAACAACAAAGAAATCATGCTACGTGGTGCAGAAAAAGACAAGGGCTGAGTCCACGTCATCGACCCGACACGTCATCCGAATCCCCGCCAAAAATAGGGAGATGTTGCGGGCGGAGAAACCTTTGAATCCCCCCCAACGCCAACAGTGGCAAAATTACAAAAAGAGTTTTATCCCCTTCCCTTCCCTTCTTCGGAGACGGACGAATCGGATGGCCCATTTCTTATTCGCGTCGTCGGATCAATTATAAAACGAGTCAATTCAAATTGTCTGTTTTCATTCCAGTCAACTATAATTACCACAAAATGAGTCAATTTCAAATTCGTCAAGCAAAATTACTTTACCTAAATTTTGTGCTGTCAAAAAAATCAATTTAACAAGATTGACTCAAAAGAAGACAAATTAATACGTTGGAATTCCTCATCCGAACAATCCCATTATTATTTATTTATATATATATATTTCTTGGGGGGAAATCTGTTTTGGTCCGTATGATACAAAGCAGGCAGGCAGGCGATGAAGGAAGGGTAGTACGGTGCACCCCAAAATGATTAACAAAATAATAATTAGCAATATTTAATTATGGTTTGGCCGGAAAATGCAAAGCGCGGAAGGGAATTGCAATACTGCAGGCTTCACCAAAAACCAACACAAAGACATGCAATTAGCATAGGTGACAACGTTGAGAATTAGTGAGAATAATCGCCCCCCCCTTAATCCCAAAGATTTAAGATAGACAAGAAAACAGAGAGTTAAACTACAGAATTAATGTGGAACAAAAGGACAGCGAAACCTAGCTTGGAAAAGTCAAAACTAAGACAATGACCGAGTAATCATCATCTTCTTTCTTCTTCCTTCCCCCCACTTCATTAGCTACCTCCATTTATCTCCTTCTTCTTCTTCTTCTTCTTCTCCATCTTCATCATCCATTCCATCGATTCGATCGTCTCCTTTCGCGCGACTCTCCGATCCTTTTCTCCCTCTCCGCCTCCCCCCCCAATTTCACTTCAAATCAGTTCCATCAACATGCTCTTCTGTACATATTCAGACTACAAGAAGCAGAGGAAAAACATAGTCTGAAACAGAGCGAGCGAGCGAGCTAGCTAGCAATCTTCTCTCAATTTGTTTCCCCAAAAACAGCGCCGAATTTATCGGTATCCTTACAAGTTCCGCGCCGAGTTTTCCGGTGGCGGATGGCGCGGCGTTTCTGTTCGGAGACGGCGGAGAGGGAGAGAGCTTTGTTTATCAACATATAGACAGCGCCCCAGGGTTTAAAAGCCAGGCCGGCCACCGCCTGAAACAAAACAAAAAAGTAGAGTTACGCCTCGTCGCCATCGATCGGAGTTTCTGATCTAGAGACGATCGCGCGGCTGACGAAGACAGTTCAATTGCAGAATTGATCATCAAGAGTTTTGAAAGCGAAGATGATGCTCGGTTCGAAACGAATGGCGGGAGGCGAACTGAAATTGGGGTACATGAGCTCCAACGATCATCATCGTCGTCATCACGTTGCCACTCCTGATCGTCGTCGCGACGCTACTAATGTGATGCTGAGGAAGTACAGCGAGCGGAGGTTGGCTCCGCTCGTAAATCCCGGAGCCCAAGGTATCTATCAGCCTACTCGAACTCCTCAAAATTTTTTTAAAAAACTTCGCACTCTCAATAACTCAAATTGTTTATTTTTTCGACGCGATATTAAGTAAGATTCAAAACATGTGACATTTTTTTGACGCGCGAGTGTACGAATTAATACAGGGCGCGACGACGACCACCACAAGGACGGACTGTACCCGGAGGTATGGCACGCTTGTGCAGGGCCGCTAGTGTATGTGCCCGAGGTTGGGGAGTATGTGTATTATTTCCCCCAGGGCCATATCCAACAGGTTTTCCTTTCTTTCTTTCTCTTTTCTGTTTAACAATTAAATTAGTTGTTAGCTAAGCTAATTGATCTTATTGGTGTATTTAATTAAGATGTGAAATTATTGTTTGTGTAGGTCCTTGCATGCGTGAATCGAGACAGTGAAATCGACTTGCCTCCATGTAATCTGCCGGCTAAATTGCTCTGCAAAGTTACCGACGTCCAACTAAAGGTTCAATCATTTCCCCCATCTCGATCTCTATATATAAATATTTAATTATGGTTTGAATAATAATAATAATAATAATAATAAATATGTTTTGATGATCAGGCGGAAGCCGGGACCGATGAAGTGTTCGCACTCATCGTTTTGCTGCCCTTGGGCGAGGTAATTAATATTAAAATTATTATAATTAAATTAATTTGATTAACAAGTTGATATATATATATACGTACAAACGAAGGGTCATTTTTTTTTGTGGTCGATTAATTCAATGAAAGGGATTTTTGGATTTCTCGTGTGTGCAATTTATTTTGTACTGGTGGTTTTTTGTTTGTGGCGTTTTGGGATAATTCCAAAATTAGCAGAAGCAAGTGGAGGATGCGATGTTGAATTGGAAGGAGGATGGGGAGAATTCATTACTTGGGAGGAGGAAGAGCAGCTGGGGAAGTGGCGGCGGCGGGAGGTGTTTTACGAAGAAGCTGACTCCTTCCGACACCAGCAAACACGGCGGATTCTCCGTGCCGCGCCGCCAAGCGGAAGAGTGTCTCCCACCTCTGGTACTTAATTACGTCCTCGCGCGAGTTGTTGTGAGAGGAGACGCGCGTTCAATTATAAATCGTATATCATTTACTAAAACCGCCGACGCGCGATTTTTTTTTTATGGGATGGGATGCAGGACATGAGTCAGGAGCCGCCTGTGCAGGAGATCGCGGCGAAAGATTTGCATGGGAACCTCTGGCGGTTTAGGCACATTTACAGAGGTGAGAGTCCTAGAGATTCGGTGAGGTTTGTTAATTGTTTTATGGTTATGTATGTAATTGGATGCATGGATTTGCGTAGGTGACCCGAAGAGGCATTTGTTGACGAGCGGTTGGAGCACGTTCGCCACCTCCAAGAGAATATCTCCTGGCGATCAATTCATTTTCGTCAGGTGCCAAAAAAAAAAAAAAAAAAACATCTTCACAAGTAGGATCTAAAATACAAAACATAATTATTCTTCAAAACCTACAACATCTTCATATACAACCATCCATCTTAATTTTAAATTTGGAGGATTAAATTTTTTTAAAATTTGGCGATCAATTCATTTCTCTAAATTTATCAAATGAATGTCATTACGTAGAGCACATTTTTTTTTAATGATGATGGTAATTATAATATGGATAATGGTTTTCTTTTGTAGAGGAGAGAACGGGGAGCTGCGGGTTGGAGTTCGTCGTGGAGGCAGGCTGCACCACAACAACAACAACAAGAACATTACTACTACAGCTGCATCTGCCGCCGCCTCTGTAATATCAGTCAACTGCATGCTCCATGGCATCCTTGCTAACGCCTGCCACGCTGTTTCTACTGCCTCCACCTTCACCGCTTATTATCGCCCTTGGTACCTAAACCCGAATCCAAAATTTCTTACGATACATATTCGATTTTATCGTCGTTTATTGATTAACCAATCAAGCAACGCAAAAAAAAAAAAAAAAAAAAACACGTTTGGCAGGAGCAATTCCAGCGAGTTCATCGTGCCAGCGAGTCAGTACCTCAAGTCTGCTGATATCGACTATTCCCCCGGGACGAGGTTCAGAATGTCGTTCGAAGCTGAAGAATCTGTAGAACAAAGGTACGTAGAGAGATTCGAAGTTGTTGTTATGTTATTAAATATAGATAAAAAAAAGTAGTAATTAATTTCCATGTTCTTTTCTTCTCCAGGATTGAGAGATTCGAAGGAACGATCGTTAACAGTGACATCGTGGATCCGAGGCATTGGCCAGATTCGGAATGGGAAGGCCTAACAGTAAGTTCCCATGCACGTATATTATATATATTTATTTTCTTTATTTATTCTTTCTACGTGCATGTATAAATAGAACCAGCTCGACGTTGATACGTATTATGTAATTAATTAAATGCATGGTTTTTTTTTTGAAAAAAAAAAATTTGGGTGAATGTTTCATCCATCAGGTCAAATGGGATGCCACGTCGGATACGTTGGTGCGCCCAGAGAGAGTTTCACATTGGAATATTGAGCCCATAGAGCCCATCAAAATGAAGGGGCCCACTTCCCCACTACGCTATCTGATCAAGAGGCCCAGGCCCACCAACTTTCTTGACAACAACTCGCCCACTGCTGCTCCTCCTGGCGCCACTGATCAGTTTCAGGCAGCCACCGATCACTTCACCCAGATTGGTATGTATATTGTAATAACAAATTACTTTTAAAATGCTATTAATTAATGACTAATTATCTCTATCATATTTTTTAAAATATAATAATCATTTAATCTATATCTACCATAAATTTATACACTTTTTAATTTATAAATTTGTTTATAATGCTCACTAGATAAATTATGCAAGTCTACCCGGTAAATTTTACTGATACTTAAATGAAAAATAATATAAATAAATATTTTCACAAGATTTCATATATTTTCTTATGTTGCAAATCATCCAAAATGAATAGATCATCAAATATCTATGTATTTGTGGCCCTACATTTTCTGTCTTTGACCATCTTTGAATAGCTCTCCTTTAATTAGTTTCTACGTTCTTTTTTTTGCAGCTAAAGGAATGTTGCGCAGCAATCCATTTCTTTTGCAGAACCTTGATCTAGAGGTTTTTCGACCTCAAAATAGTAAGAAAACTAAGACTGAGGTTTTGGATGAATTGAAACCCCCTAAAATACCACATTGGATGATTCACCCTCAGATGAACTATCCAGTACCCTTTGCTATTATTGGCCCTACAAGCAACAATCCACAAGTCGAAGTAGTAGGCGACCCAATAGTAGTAGATCAGGATTCGGATCCTAAAAAATTGACGTCCTCTCCAGTTCCATTTCTGGAGTCTGGAGAGGAAGCAAACGAAGCTCTGCAGCTTGTTTCACCGAGTGAAAGCAAGTGCATGCTGTTTGGAGTTAACCTCTCCGGCAAGCCATTGGAGCTCCCTTCACCACAAATTGTTACTTTTGGTAGCGAGACGGAAAGTCTCTCTAACCACTCTATCGTCCCTCCTTCGACTTCTCATTCGAGCGTCTCGGAGACGATATCTAAGGCCAGTACCCCTCTCGATCATCATCTTCATCAAGCTAATTATGGTCAGTGCAATAACTGCACAGTTACATCTTCTTCACCGGTTAATCGCACCTGCATCAAGGTAATGAAATTTCTACCAATTTTTAATGTTTCTTTCTCCTTCTTCTTCCTTGTACGTATAATTATCTCATGATCTCGTAGTTTTTTGCTCTTAATTACAACTTTTTTATTGGGTTCTGTTCATCATTAAGGTATTGAAAGAGGGAAGCCAACTAGGAAGGTTTGTTGATCTAATGCAATTCAATGGGCATGGACAACTGATTACTGAGCTTGACCAAATGTTTGGCTTTCGAGGAAGCTTGATGGATCGAAATAGTGGGTGGCATGTCACCTACGGTGATGTCGAAAGTGATACAAATCACATAATGTTTCCCATTTTGGACCGTGAATGGCAGTTAAGTATAAGCCTTACCCTTTTTTTTTGTTTGTTTGTTTGCTATATATGTCGTAGAGGAGAGCACCAATTGACACGTTTCTCATGTTTTTCTTTGAAATTTTGCAGGCAACTCGTGAGTGTTGCTCAGAAGTTGGTCATCTGTCCGAAAGAAGCCTATTAAGCAACAAAATAGGCATTTGAATGCAATTGAGATCAACTATGGACCAACAACAAACATATCCCAATATTATACATGCTTTACTTTAAGACTTTCAGTAATGGATTTTCATCAATAAGTGTGGACTTCTATTTGGTTGTAGGCTGAAATAGTGTTGTTATGTTTGTGTTGAGAAAAAAAACTCTCTATGTTTATGGTCTCTATATGGGTCGTATTTTGGTTTATTTATTTGGACAAATCACATTTAAGTCCATAAAATCTGATTTACAATATCCAACTTGTTCCCTCCTCGATAACCTCTTCTCTTAAGGAGTTCAAATCCTTAATTACTGGTATTTCCACCTTACTACATCAGCTTCGTTGGTCATGCGCCAACCATTTTCCGACTACATCATCAATGCCTTGAAGCTAGCTAAATTTGTGATCCCATCACTACCTAGCTATGGAGACATGAGTGAACCTAATGATCACCTAGTCTCATTTCAAATCATGATGCAAATTCATTCCATTCCAAACGCCAGCTGGATGTGTAAGATCCGGTAGAAAACTTTGTTGGGAAAGACGCATAATCCGTTCATGCGACTCCGTAAGGGTTGATCACTAGGTTTGACCAGATTGACACCCTTTTCCTCTACATATATGACACCCAAAATAGAAGGGAAAGAAGTTTATGCCATCTGTAGTCACTTAAATTGGGTTAAATGACACCCTTTTCCTCTACCTCTTCTATGTTTATGTATTTTTCTTCAATCGTATGTGGCTGCACGTTCTGTTGTTTAGGTTTGTGGAACCTAGAGTGTTCTAAGATTTCATATGATGATTTGATAGTATACTTATTGATTGTTTTCTTCTATAATAATGTTATTGTTTATATTTGTGCATTAGGCCAAGGAAGAAATTGCTAGGTTAATCGTTGTGCATCTCATGACTATGATTGAAGAAGATGTTCATGTGTATGTAGGATCACCAATACGAGAAACTAATTTTGCATGCTATCCAAGATCACTTATGCCAATTGTAGTGAAAATAGTTTGAGCTCATATATGTCAAGAGTGATAGTGCGAAAGGGGTTGCAACTAGATGATATATGTTTGATTTGATTCTTGTGTTTATCTTGAAACTCTATAGGAAACTTAACGAAGGAAAACCTTGATTTCATTCTTGTGTTAATCTTGAAACTCTATAGGAAAACTACCTAATTAAGCAAAACCTATAATCTTTTTGCTTTTATTTTGTGTTCATTGTGATACTTGAATCTTTGTTTTACTATATAGAGACCTTTATAGTTAGTCTTTGCTTAAATTTGCGTTTTAAGATCTTTGCTCTTTTCTGTATTTGGTTGTTTTAAGTTTTAAAGTATATTATAGTTTTGCCTTCAAAGTTTATTTTCTATTATCTAAAGAACTTTAAAAATAATTTCAAAGTAGTAAAGGAGAGAGTCAATAGGGAATATAACCTTAGCAGTTTTCATTTTTTTTTTCAAAAGATAATCATGTATTGATTCACAAAAGCAAGTTACATCTTGGAATTCAGCCAGGTCTGATAATTAAAGCCTCTATTCATAGCCGGACACAAAGACAGGGCCTTTCTAGCCACCGAGTGGGCTACCCTATTGCTATCCCGACCTACAAATCAAATATTACAATCAGATCGAGTGGTAAAAAAATGAACAACTTCTTCAAGAACTGCACCCATCCGATTATCCCTGGTGTCTGCACAGTTGATTTTATCAATGATTACTTTGGCATCGCCCTCAAAAACAACATCCGTAAGCCCCAGGTTCGTACACCAAAGCATTTGCTCTCGGAGCACCAACAATTCCACCACCATAGGGTCATCAATCACAGGGAACTGGACCCCCTTAGCCAACAGGACTTCCCTCGAAGAGGAGAGGATCACCACCCCACCCGCCGAATGAGACCCGTATCTAGTAGCGGCATCCCACATGCACACCAGGCCAGTAGGACCTGCCACATTCGGCTGGATAGAGGGTCGACTCAAGACCCGGGGATCCGCACTGGAGGGCAGATTAACCCATTTGTCATACTGTTGGGTAAATTGCCTCATCAGGGCAGAGAAACTGAACTGTTTACCCTCAAAGACAACCCAATTGCGAGACCGCCAGATCCTCCAAAGGACTGCAACCACTGCCATGAACACCCTAGGCTGATTAATCAAAACCAACAATCTCTTTAGAAAGAGGGGGAAAGTATCCCGAGGCAACCCCTCCCCTAGATATTCCAGGCCCGAGTAATCCCAAAGGGCATGAGCCACATGACAATAGAGGAACAAATGCTCCAAAGTTTCCGACTCGCCCCAACAAACTGGGCAACGAGGATGAACCGGGACCTTCCTGTCAATAAGCGCCTCAGTAGTGGGAATCGCTCGATCGAGGATTTGCCAAACGAAAACTTTTAGTTTCAGCGAAATATTAGCGCTCCAAAGACGAATCCAGCTGCCTTTATCCATCCAACTGACCGTAGGCGACCAACCACCTCTCCTCCTATCCAGAGTGACCGCCAAATGATAAGCCGACTTCACCGAAAAAATCCCATCAACAGTATCATACCAGATCAACCTATCCTCCACATCTTGACGCGGGAGAGGAATTGCTTTAATGGCACGACATGTAGGAGGGTCAAACCATTGACTAAGCTTATGGTCACACTAGTGACCCTCCCCTTGGCAAATAACCTCTGCCACCAGCGGATCACCCCCCTCCGGTAAGATTTGAGGGTTGTATCTAGGAGGATCAAGCTGATATTGGGGAATCCAGGTTGAGCGGAGTAAAGACGCAGACTTCCCGTTCCCAATCTGCCAACGCAATCCCATTTCCAACAGTTTCCGTCCAAACAAAATGCTCTGCCACCCCCACGAAGGGTGCGATCGACCCGTAGCTTGGATGAAAGACCCATTAGGAAAGTACTTAGCTTTATAAACCTGGGCCAGTAGGGATTGAGGCTCCATCAAAATCCGCCACCCAACCTTTGCCAACAGGGCTTGATTAAAGTGTTCGAAACGGCGGAACCCCATCCCCCCATGATGCTTACTACGACACATATTGCCACAGGACATCCACCTTATCCTAGAGTGATCCGCATCGGCCCCCCACCAAAACCGGGCAACATGCCAGTCCAAGAGCCGACAGAGAGACAGAGGCAACTTGAAACAGGACATCACATGTAATGGCAGGGCCAGGGCCACTGATTTGATCAGCGTTTCCTTAGCCGCCCAAGATAATGTCCTCTGCTTCCACCCCTGCAATCGTTCTAATAACTTCTCTTCCAGATAGCGGAACGTAGCCATTTTAGACCTGGCAATCAGAGTAGGCAAACCCAAATACTTATCATGAACCCCAACCGCCCCTACCCTCAAAATGGCAGCCAAAAACTCTTGATCCGGCGAAGTAATGTTCTTACTAAAGCAGACAGCTGACTTGGCCAGGTTCTCTCGCTGGCCACTAAGTTCCTCATATTCATTTAAGACCACGATCAGGTTCTCACACTCCTGGAGAGTGCCTCGAAAAAAAAAAGATAAGAATTGTCTGCAAAGAAGAGATGAGATATTCTGTGGGCACGAGGAGCAACTTTAACCCCCTGAAGTTTCTTCTCTGAAATCGCCTTACGTAGGAGAGCCGCAAACCCCTCTGTGCAGAGCACAAATAAAAGAGGAGAGAGCGGATCACCTTGGCGGAGCCCACGAGACGGGGCTAAATAACCTGACGGTGTACCATTCATGAGCACAAAAAAGATGAAGACCGTAAACATTCATGAACCCACCCTCTCCAGACAGAGTTAAACCCCATCTTTTCCAAAACCGCAAGAAGAAAGGACCATTCGACTCTATCATAGGCCTTTTCCATGTCAACCTTTAGAACCATGTAACCTTTCTTGCCTTGGGTTTTGATTTTGAGGTAGTGCATTAGCTCATGCCCGAGAAGGATATTCTCAATTATCTGGCGATCCCTGATGAACGCATTTTGACCCTCTGAGATTATATGGGGAAGGAGACAAGCAAGCCTCTCAGCCATGATTTTAGTAATTATCTTGTACACAAACTGGCACAGACTGATGGGTCGTAACTGCTTCATAGTCTCCACCGAGTCAACCTTTGGAATCAAGGTTAACCACGTATGGTTGAAGCTCCGTAGCAACCTACTAGTCGTGAAGAAGGAGCACACCGCCTCAATTACCGAGTCCCCAACTATGTCCCAGAAGGTCTTGAAAAATTTCATGCCACTAAGTTATTTTTGAAATTTGTCCTACGACTAATCAAATTTTGGTGTCATTGCCCGAGCCTCTTATTCCTTTGAATGAAAACATTGTATACTTTTGTTTTTTTTAATATTTTGTATCTTTTTATTTTTGTTTGATCTGTGGTTTTCTCTTGTTTTTTAAGGATATTTTTGTCTATAATTTTACAGGGTTGCTTAGAACTGCCAGAGGGGTAATGACATAAATTATTTTTAATATTTCTAAATTATTCATTTTTTTCTCTACGTGGCATCCACATTAGCGAAACATCCCAATTTACTAACGGTCAACAGTAATTTGACGGAAATTCATGAGTCTGGCCAAAGTAGATTATATGGTGTATAATTGAGGTCATGATAACATTTTCTAAAACTACGAGATAAATTTGATTATTTGGATATAATTTGGTCAAGAATAAGGTATTACCCAGTGTTATTAAAGCCAGACCGGACCGGTCGGTCCGATCGGTGAAACCGTCACCCGGCCACCAATTTGGTCCGGTCAGGCTATTTAGCCGCCCCGGCTGGTACACCTTATTTTCAAGTGAACCGACCGGTTCAATCGCCGAACCGCTTCATCGGTTTTACCGGTCAGAATCTTGGTGACAAAAATATACAACCAGTTGGAGAGGGCTGGGATCAAACCCAGCACCTCTTGGTGCAATGTTAAATGTTGATCCAATTGTGCTACTACCAATTTGTGTAATAGGAGATACAAGTCTCATTATTAAACACTTTCGTAGTGTTTAGTTTTGAAACTAATCATTAAATAATGTTCATAATTATTAAAAATCACTCGTATTATAATTAAATAATTTATATTTCTGTACAATAATATTCTTTACTTGTTATATATAATTTTTTGTTTGAATACATTAGAATAAATATATAATTATAATACCATTAATGGTTTCTATTTATAATAATTCTATTTCTTAGACACCGGTTCGATAACGGGTTTATAACGACTTGATAGCGGTTAAACCAATAAAGTGCGAGCCGCTTATAATACCGGTTCATATAGCGGTTCGGTTCTGATAACATTGGTATTACCCCAATAATTTATTAATGCCGATTATTTGGTAAATTTGCCTACAAAAGGGTATAGCCGTTAGCCGACAAAGAAGTAAATGGCAATGCCGTAAAACTCACAAAAGGTTGGGTCAAAACTGTCCACTCATTCACATGGCAGAAGTACAAAGGGGAAAAAAGGTTTCAGGCCACTAGTGAAATACAAATTTCAAATGAGTGGCCGTTTGAACTCCAATAACTTCCAAAAAGATACAAATCCAGAAAGAGAGGAGAGGTGCCCAGCTTCCCAACTTCGAAACCCATTTCCCTCTCTCTCTGTCTTCTTCTTCTTCTTCCTCCGCTTCTCTTCACCGAAAGAAAGACATTCGATTGACATAATGACGGGGCTTGTGATGGTGACTAAGGGCGGCGGTTGCGGTGGCGGCGTGGGAGGTAGCGGTTGTAAGGGTTCGGCGAGGGGCAGTAATAAGGCCAGCAGCGAAGAAGAGCAGAACCAGCAGCTATCGACGGTAGCGGTTCTTTTATCCGCTTTGAGGAAATCCCTGGCTTCCTCGTGCCGGATTGAAGATGGGGAAGATCTGATGTCGTCGTCGTCGTCTTCCTCCGCCGCCGTTCGCCACATGGACATCGGCTGGCCGACGAACGTCCAGCACATTACCCACGTTACCTTCGATCGATTCAACGGGTTTTTGGGTCTTCCCATGGAGTTCGAAGTGGAGATTCCTTCCAAAGTCCCCAGCGCCAGGTACTGAAGTTTTAATTCAACTTCACTTGTTTCTCCTAGTTTTTCTACTTAACGAGATAAGAAATGGGGGTTTGTCGTAAAATGTGATCTGATTTTGGATCCTCGAGGAAATGAATGCTGAGGTTCTTTGGGTTTGGTTTCCTTTTCTGGCTCTCGAAATGAAGGTTTTGTGCGGAGTCTACTTAGCTTAGCTGCACTATTGAGTGAAGTTTCCCCCTTCTGCTAGGGTTACCTTACTCTGCTGCTAGCGAGGTGTTGTTGCTAGGGTTCTTGTTAGCTTAGTTAGTACAATGAAAGTTTGCTTAATTTACAGAAGACTGATGCTAGTCCTGATTTGGAATTGGGAAAAAAGAAGAACCAAAAGGAAGGACGAAAAGTCGGTTTCTTTTCCATTGTAAAAAGATCTAATCGGGATTTTGCTTTGAACATTTCAAATTGCAGAGCCACTTTCATTTTATGTTTGAAATCTCTGTTAGTTAGTCTACTATCAGTAACTTTTCTTGCTTCTTTCTCTTTTCTTAGGGTTTTTTCTTGCTTCTTTCAACCAAATGAAAGAGGATTTCTTGCTTTCAACGAATATCCTGACTTGCTTAATGTGCGTAGTCTTAACTTGGTTTCATCAATTTCGCAGTGTTAGTGTTTTTGGTGTCTCGGCAGAGTCAATGCAATGCTGTTATGACTCCAAAGGAAATAGCGTACCAACAATTCTTCTACTAATGCAGCAGAGATTGTACAAACAGGATGGTCTAAAGGTATAAATCACGTTACTTCTTCAATGGCAGCTCTCAAATGCTTAATATCGTTTCCTATAAATGATTTCTCTTTGTTGGCTTCCTTTTCTTCATTTGACTAGGCTGAAGGAATTTTCCGCATAAACCCAGAGAACGGTAAGGAGGAACATGTAAGAGACCAGCTGAACAGGGGAATTGTCCCCGATGACATTGATGTGCATTGTTTAGCTGGGCTCATAAAAGCCTGGTTCAGGGAACTTCCTTCTGGGGTGCTTGATGGGCTATCCCCCGAGCAGGTTCTTCAATGCAACACGGAAGAAGACTCCGTTGAACTGGTTACGCAATTGAAGCCAACTGAAGCTGCACTCCTCGATTGGGCCGTCGATCTCATGACTGATGTTGTTCAAGAAGAAGAACACAACAAGATGAATGCTAGAAATATTGCAATGGTCTTTGCTCCAAACATGACCCAGGTATATATGTGAAATCCGTTGCTCTTTTGCATGCTGAATTGGTGTATGTCTCAATTGCAGCTATAATAAAGGTAACATCTTCCCTCCTTCCTTGTTCAGATGTCTGATCCATTGACAGCACTAATGCATGCTGTACAAGTTATGAACTTACTGAAAACCCTAATCACTAAGAATCTGAGAGAGCGTGAAGAGGCAGGCAGTGGAGGATGTTCACCCATGTCTTCTCAATCATATGGTCAGCATACTAATGAAGGTTGTGACAGCCAGCAAGACACTGACATCAGCAGTGAACCAAGGCAGGGATCAGATTATGAAGATGATGTTGATGACGACGATGAAGATGATGGACACTACAGCCATGACAGTGAAAACAGTGATGACCGCGAGGTTGAGTCCTTGAGTAAGATAGAAGAACTCTTTTTGAATGCACTGGACGAGGACATGGTTGCTACCGACATGTTGCAAGAGCAGCCATCTGATGATGAATTTTCAAGGAAAAGCTTCAGCAAGAGAAGCTGTTCAAGTCTTAACATGGAATCTGGATTAACATTTACTGATGCCAAAAATGATGATGATTCTGCTTCAGGTTCAAGTGATGGTGAAAACTCGAAGGCAAGTTTGAATGCTATTGTAGATGAGAGAAGCCTGTCGAGAGGACGCGAATCTTGTGATGATGTCAAGATGGAGGAGAAAGTGGGTCAGTTGATTATGCCCGTGATATAGTATGTTCAAATGCTGAGGGCAGATTACCGGTTAGTGTGAACCTGTGTGACTGCATCTGTATATTAGGACTGCATTAACTTTCGCTTGAACTGCGTAGGAGCTTTTCCCTATTTGTTAAGGTTGTGCTTAGGAAGTCAATTGTTCAGCTTTGGGCTGAACTTGTACTTAGTTTGCATGTTTGTTCAGCTCAGAGCTGTCTCACTGCTCAGCAATGAGTTGCCATGATCTCTGACCTGAAAGATTTTTAAGACTGGAAGGACTTCAATGTTTCCAAGTCTAAGTCCACGTCCTTGTCACAAGCAGATACTGGAATGTCTGTGCTGCCGAATTAATATGTTCTTTTTTATCTGGAGGTACTGCAACAATGTTAAGCCAGCAAACCACTAAAGATTATTAACTCCAGTAGGTTTTGGCTGTATCGACCAGGTTATTGACTCTTTGATACTTGAAGTCCACCTCAAAGAATTGAATCAGAAGATTTTAAATCGCAGGATTGTTCAAAAAATTAGTCTAAAAAAACATCACTATTCACTGACAGGGTTAGAAGTGAGTTGTATCTCTTGTGGGTCATCTTGGAAGATTTTAATGTCATCACTGTTTCTAGAGAAGCTTCTAACAATCCATATTTCACTAGTTCTATGGTCGAGCTCAAGGATTAGTCGATTGAGTTGGAGGTTGAGGAACAAACTACTTCTGAACCCTGGTTTACATAGCTAAATAAGCAATATGGTAATCCTATAGCTCAAAGACTAGATATAGCTTTAATTTATCTAAAGTTGGAGGTTGAGGACCTTATTCCTCTATTTGAGCCTTTCACATCTAGTAGTTGTTATGCTTTTATGAATTACTGATGTTTCGATGAATTCACTCCTTAAGCTCCTTTAAGTTTTTTAGATTTTGGATAGTGCATCCCCATTCCCATTTGCCAATGTCGGGTCGTCTAAATCTCAATTCAAGCATGATTGACGATTTTTTCAATGGAAATTTTAACATAAGGGCATGTTTGATAATTTTTTCAAAGTACAGGGGCATATTTGATGTAAAAAATAGTAGAGGGGCATGTTTGATAAAATGTCATAGTAGAGGGGCATATTATACCTATAACCATTTTTATTATTGTGTATTCTTCTAGAAACATAATCGAGATGTCTATTCTAATTTGAGAGGAAGTCGGGATTTCTTCAAAAGACAGTACACGTTGTAAGCTCAAAAACATGATTTGATTGATCCTTCTCGTGTTACTTTTAGTGACCAAAGCAAAGTCTCCTTGACGCGAGTCGACGTCGAGTTTTACTATTTATTACTCGATTGTGGAAATTAGTAACTACTCTAATTTAGGACAAGTGCACTCTAGATCAACGAAGTAGTATAGTGGTGTTCGAGGTCCTTTCAATTCAAGTGCAAAGCCATCGGTGATTACCACGGAATGGGTATGGGATGTTCTCGCTTATGCATATGCTTGTCCTAGGGGCCTCTAGGTCTACTACTACTCTCGGTTTTGACGTACTATCTAGTTGTTGAAAAATCGGAGAATTGCGGAAAGTAAATAACACAAGAGGTTACGTGGTTTCCCCAGCAAATTGCTAGGACTACTCCACAGAGAGCATAGCTCTCGGATCAAGGCTTCACTATGATAGTTCGGCGGTCACACCTTATGTGTTCTTAGGGTTTAAAAATCACCAAGATAAACCTACTTATACCCTCTCACCAAGTACACGGGTAAAGGCTTAAAACAAGGATTAAGTGCAAATAAGCAACTGAACAAAACGTATTGGACAATTAGGTCCAACACGGTCCAATACTCCCCCTCAAGCTAGAGCATGAAGGTCACAAATGCCAAGCTTGGACAACAAGGCATGAAACGGTTCCGTACCCAAAGCTTTAGTGAAAATGTCGGCGAGCTGAGAGCGGGAATCCACCTTCCGAGGCTGAATATCACCGGAAGCCACACGCTCACGAACAAAATAACAGTCCATCTCCACATGCTTAGTACGCTCGTGGAAGACCGGATTAGCAGCAATGTGCAGTGCTGCCTGGTTATCGCAGTAGAGAACAGTGGGGTGAGGCTGAGGAATCCGCAACTCGCTAAGAAGGAACCGAAGCCATAAAACTTCACTGGTAGCACTAGCCATCGCACGGTATTCCGCCTCGGCGGATGAACGAGCAACAACTCGTTGCTTTTTAGCACGCCAAGAGATCGGAGCACCCCCAAACTGAATATAATAACCTGTCATGGAGCGGCGGGTGGATTGACAACCTCCCCAGTCCGCATCACAATAAGCAGTGAGCTCTGAACTGCCCGTAGATGGTAGAAGCAAGCCCTGACCTGGTGCACCTTTGAGATAACGGAGAACCCGATGGGCGGCAGCTACATGATCCGGGCTGGGAGCATGCACAAACTGACTTAAGATATTGACGGAGTAAGCAATGTCGGGCCGAGTGATAGTCAAGTACAGCAGGCGACCAACAAGACGATGATAGGAGCTCACATCAACAGCACGATCCTCAGAGGGACGGGTCAAGGTATGGTTCTGCTCCATGGGAAATGCACTGGGGCGCGCTGCTTCGAGACCCGATTCAGCCAGGATGTCGAGTGTGTATTTACGTTGACAGAGAACAATACCTTCGGGCGACCGTGCAACCTCAATACCGAGAAAGTATTTGAGAGGCCCTAAGTCCTTGATGCTGAATTGATCATGGAGATAGGCCTTCACACGCGCAATAGTGGTATCATCATTGCCAGTCAATACAACGTCATCAACGTAGATTAGGGCGACAACGAAAACTTCGGCTGCCTGATAAATGAAGAGAGAATGATCCGCCTTCGAAACCGTAAAACCGAAGCCAACCAAAGAATCTGTGAACTTGGTATACCAGTTCCGGGACGCCTGGCGGAGGCCATAGAGGGATTTCCGGAGGCGACAAACACGCTGGTCTCCATCTTTAGCAAACCCTTGCGGCACACGCATATAAACTTCTTCATCCAAGTCACCGTGAAGAAATGCGTTATTTACATCGAGTTGGTGGAGAGGCCAGCCTTTCTGAGCAGCAACAGCCAACAAAACCCGGACTGTGACCAGTTTGGCAACAGGAGCGAACGTGTCATGAAAGTCAACCCCTTCTAGCTGAGTAAAACCTTTCGCGACCAACCGAGCCTTGTAACGTTCCACTGTACCGTCGGGTCTGAACTTAATCTTGTACACCCACTTAGCGTCAATAACGCGCTTGCCAGGTGGCAACAGTTCCATAGTCCATGTGCCATTAGCTTCAAGTGATGCGATCTCCTTCTTCATAGCATCACGCCAACACTCATACTTGACGGCCTCGGCAAAGTGACGGGGCTCAACAAGTGAGGAAACGGCAGCCAAGAAAGCACAGTAGTTAGCCGAGAACCGATGATAGTTCACATACTGAGAAAGAGGAAATCGAACTTGATGGGAGGAAGGACCAGGAAACTCTACCTCATAGACATTGAGCCGGGAAGGAGGTCGCCGATTCCGTGTCGGGTAGCGCCGGGGGGAAGGCAAAGGTGCAAGATGGCCATCGGCCAGTGGGTTCGCATCAAGAGCTGGCGGAGTAGGAGCATCCGAGGGAGGAGAACGCACCTGACTTGGTGAGTTATGGATGGCTGGCGACGAGGGACTTGCTAGCGGCGTGGAGGTGTCCTCATCCGTCTAGGGTGAGGAGAACGCCGAGTCATCATCACCTGGAGGGACCAAGTGATCTAACGGATCACTATCAGCTATGGGGAAATGCATGGGGGGGTCCAGGTCACGTGGAGCACCCATGGAATGCATGGGGAAAGCATGCACGTAAGGTAAGGACGAATGGCTAGAGGTGCTACTGTGTTGGCGAAAAGGAAAGGTGTCCTCCACGAAATGCACGTCACGGGAAACAATGACTTTGCCGGCCTTCAAATCAAAGACACGATAACCCTTCTGTGTTCCGGGATACCCAACAAAGACTCCAGCTCTCCCCATGTCGGCAAACTTATCGAGGCCATGATGCGTGTCTTTGGCGTACACGAGGCACCCAAAACACCGGAGATGAGAATATGTGGGAAGGCGCCCCAAGAGCAGCTCGAAAGGTGTCTTCATGGCGATGACGGGAGAAGGCATACGGTTGATCAAATATGATGCAGTGAGAACACACTCACCCCAGAAACGCACGGGGAACCCTGCATGGAACATGAGAGCTCGAGCCGTCTCCAGGAGATGGCGGTGCTTGCGCTCAACTACACCGTTCTGTTGCGGAGTATCTGTACAAGAAGTCTGAAGCAGAATACCCTTGGCCTCATAATATTGACGAAGAGAATTAGTCCGAAACTCTGGTCCGTTGTCTGCCTGGATACGACGTACATGACGATTATACTGTGTAGAAGACATCTCACAAAATAACCTGAGATAACGCTCCACATCGGACTTAAAACGCATCAAATAAATCCATGTTGCACGACTAAAATCATCAACAACGGTGAGGAAGTAACGAGATCCATCCAATGACGTAGTGCTATATGGCCCCCATATGTCAATATGAATGAGATCAAAACAACCAGTAGTTTTGATTGAGCTATGAGGAAAAGGAGTGCGAGATTGTTTAGCACGCAAACAAGAGTCACAATGAGAGGTTTGCCGAGGACTAAAATCACAACCCACAAAATCCTTCATCAAAACCAAACGATCAAAAGAAATGTGTCCCATACGAGCATGCCATAAATCTGTTACATCTGCATGCCCAATCACCTTGCACACCTGGGGAAGCGGCTGCTGTGGGACCCGCTGGAAGTAGTAGAGTCCATCCTGCAGCCTACCGACGCCAATCACCGTCCTGGAAGGTAAGGCCTGAATCACGCAGAAATCATGCAAGAACGTTACTGCGACGTTATGGTCCTTAGTCAAACGACTCACGGACAGCAGGTTACACTTGAAATCAGGCACATGTAACACACGCCTAAGGGTAAGTAACGGAGATAACTGCACTGAACCAACCCCTCTAACAGGTACGCCCGTCCCATCAGGTATCTGAACGCTAGAGAAGCTAATCGTACTATCAACAGAGTGTAACCAACGAGCATCTTTCACAATGTGCTCATTACATCCCGAATCGATTAGCCAGTCATAAAGGTCACAGGGTTTACCCGCCATATGCGCAGTGGGCTCAGTAGCCACGTCGGAGGAAGTCCCGGAGAGGAATTGCTTGAGCTGGGTGAGCTGAGCAGAAGTGAGACCAGGAATGGAATGAATCTCTGCCGCCTCAGGCTCGACATGTGTTGCATTGGAACGACGCGGAGGATCAGATCGCCCATCACCCTGCTTCGCACGAGGATGTCCGGGAGGATACCCTATGAGGCGATAACACGTCTCCTTATGGTGACCCAATTTGTTACAATGAGAACAGCGGGGCTTTTCGGGGGCCACAGGTGCAACGCTATCTGCCTGGGCTTGGAACACCGTCGTCTCAATTGCTGGCCGCCTGTTGCTGGTGATATTGCGATGGTGTTCTTCCGCAGAGACCAGCTGATACGCCTCGGACAGGGACGGCGTGGGTCTCATGCTAAGAATTTGGCTTCGAACGACAGAGAACGTGTCATCTAGTCCAAGCAAGAATTCAAAAAGCTGCTCGGTCTCGACTTTATCTTGATGTTGCTTGGGAAGATCGCATCGGCACCCGCCGCAAGTACAACCTGTGCAAGTACAACGAGGGAGGCTACTAATCATGTGCATCTCATCCCACAAA